TTTTCCCTTGGGGGTTGGGTTTTCATTTTTTGATTTTTTTTTGGGGGGGGGACACACAAAGGCACCTGGATCTTGTATTTCCCAATGCCCTGAGTCTAACACAATGCCTAACCAAGAGCAGGTGACAGTAATTATTTTTAAATGAACTCCATACATTTAAGTCATCATCAATAATGGTGGCTTATGCTTTTTTAAATCTCTATGCCTCACAGCCATGGCTGATTTGTTCAGATGTGAGTATCCAACTAGAACTTGAACATTTTCTCTCTTTCCTTTTCTCTGAGCCATAACACCAGTAACTTGGGAGCTGTGGCTGTTTTCTATCTACTTATTACTATCTGTTCTCTCCTTCCTTAGTAAGAGAACTCCAATTTTAGCTGAGCACACTGCCACTATGAATGAAGACTACGTATCCTTGCTGTCTTTGCAGCCAGGGGTGGCCATGTGACCAAGTTCTGGTCAATGACATCCAAGGGGATGTTTTATATGAAACTGCTGAGACAGCATTCTAAAAAAGGAGAGGGTCATATGCTTTTGCATTTCTATTTCTCCACTGCCTTCTAGACTGAAAATCGGATGAGATGGCTGGCACTTCAGCAGCAATCTTGAACCAGGAGGTGATGCTGAGAATGAAAACCCTGCTCTTTGAAGGCATTAATTTCACCGTTGCTGTGGGAGAGGTTCTCTCTCTTCTTCTGGATGTGAACATAGAAGGAGGATGCTCCCAGTTGGCACTGGAAGTCATCTTATGACTACAAGGAGCAACAGTTTAAGTGTGACACTGTCTCAAGACCCCAAGCAGATGCTCAGCAGGTACCAAAGCTGCAGAAGCAAGAGGCGAACTTCCTGCATGAAGTAAGAACAGGAACATAGGGGTCAGTAGAGGGGACTAAAAGGAGATGGAGAGGAAAACAGCAAGGGACAGGGGGACTAAGCGACAAGGCGGAAGCCTGTAATCCAAGCCATAGAAATGGACAAAAACCGTTTAGGGGGAAGGGAATTTAAAATTGAATGTTACTTTTGTGGCACAGAAATCCTTTCGTCTTCCCACACACTCAGGAGAGTCCTCTGCACACCTGAATGACTCGTGTGCAAGATTCTTTGTCAAAGATGAACGTGAAGGGGTGAGCACTGCTTCTAGGCCAACCTGCTGAGGGAAGAGCAGAGAGCCCAGGGGCGGGATTGGGTGGGGAGGGAGTCAGGGCCTCTGGCCGCATACAACAAACATGGACTCTGGCTGGCTTGGACAGAAAAGGAATTTATTGGTGTCCTGTTCTCTTTATCCCCTTGGGCCACCTCTCAGGTCTCCATAAGTAGAAAGCTTCATGCCTCGGGGTCCACAAATGCTTGCTCAGTTCAAGTGCAGGGCAGCTCAGAAATACCAGTGATTTCACAGCCTCAGGCCACCCTCAACCAGCGAGGGACAGGAGTCAGTGAATAAATACCCAGCCCCCTTGTTTCTCAGAGTGACAATTTGGATGCATGATATATGATGGTTCTTCAGAGAGTCCCCAGCAGGAATTAGCCCCCGTTGCCCACCAAGTTAACCTTCTCATTAACACACTTTTTTTTTTTTTTTTTTTGAGACAGAATCTCACTGTGTTGCCTGGGCTAGAGTGCTGTGGCATCATCCTAGCTCATAGCAACCTCAAACTCCTGGGCTCAAGCAATCCTTTTGCCTCAGCCTCCCGAGTAGCTGGGACTACAGGCATGTGCCACCATGCCCGGCTAATTTTTTCTATGTATTTTTAGTTGTCCAATTAATTTCTTTCTATTTTTAGTAGAGACGGGGTCTCGCTCTTGCTCAGGCTGGTTTCGAACTCCTGAGCTCAAACAATTCACCCACCTCGGCCTCCCAGAGGCATTTCTCCCTTCCCCAGTACCTCCTGGGATCACCTCCCACAGCAGACGTGTCTTCCAAAGATAGTCACAAAACTAGTCTGTCCCATCCCACAGGCTCTCTTAGAACCTTACTACCCCCGCCCCCCATCAAGAGATGGTATCTATATCCCCATCCCTTGAGCCTGGGAGGGCTTGTGACAACTCCCACAAATTAAATGTTGCAGAAATGCTGCTGCGTGACTTCCAAGACTAGATTGGAAAAGGCCATGAAGCTTCTGCCAGGTTCTCTCAGGACACTTGCTCTTGGAAACCAGCCGCCATGGTGTGAGGAAGCCCAAGCCATATGGAGAGGCCATGTGTAGTTGTTCTGGCTGACAGTCCAAGATGAGGTTCCAGCTGACAGGCAGTATCATCCACTAGACGTGTAAGTGAAGACACTTCTAGATGATTCCAGCTCTAGCCATCCAGTCACCTCCCAGCTGACAGCCCAGACATCATAAAGAAGAGACAAGCAGTCCCCACTGCTCCCTGTCTGAATTCCTGACCCACAGAATTTGCGAGGATAATAACATGGTTGTTTTATGCCACTAAATTTTGGAGTGATTCAATACTAAATAGAACGTCTCCCAAATAAACTATGTGCACACAAATCTTTATCTCAGGGTCTACTTTTGAGAGAATCCAAACTAAGACAAAAAGATGTTGGATAGATCCCAGAATCTCACCAGCTTCCAGTTCCAGGCTTACATTAGCCTCGGTGGAAGGTGACTCACCTTCATCCTAACATGAGGCTTAAATCTGGGTCTCACTGATTTGGGGATAGGTGGGCCAGTCTAATGGAGCTGCTGACTGGATAGGACTGGCCAGGTCCTCCCAGTTCTCCTTCCTGAGGGATGGGGTCTGCCCCAGCAACCACACGGTCCCAAGAGTGGGGAGGGGAGGCTCCCTATAGGAAAACTAGCTGCTGCTATCACATCTTCCCAGTTCTGCTCAGGGATCAGGAGCCATGCACTGCAGGGAGGGTAAACCCTCTTGAGCCTAGAGGTGAGTGCCAACCAAACCAAACCAATCACGGCAATTCCACTCCCCTTGTCAGAGGCAAGTTGAGGTCTGGAACCTGGCAGGGCAGGGTCAGAAGGGGAGGGTTAGGAAAGGTTTCTTCACTCTTAAAAAGAGGCACAGGCTGGGTGCCATGGCTCACACTTATAATCCCAGCACTTTGCAAGGCCAAGGCAAGAGGATTGCTTGAGATCAGGAGTTCGAGACTAGCCTGGGCAATATAGTGAGAACCTGTCTCTAAAAAAGTCAAAAAAATAAGCTGAGTGTGGTTGGTGGTGTGTGCCTGTAGTCCCAGCTACTCGGGAGGCTGAGGCAGGAGGATCGCTTGAGCCCAGGAGTTTGAGGTTACAGTGAGCTACAATCAGATCACTGCACTTGGGGGCAACAGAGTGAGACCGTCTCTTAAAAAAAAAAAAAAAAAAAGAGGCAAAAGAGATAGAGATGTCCTAACTTCCACCTTTGAGCCTCCTTATGTAGCGACGTGACACTTTGAGCTACCACAGCCATCTCAAGACCATGAGGGACAAACCTGAGGATAAAGGTCAGAACGCTGGGGATGATGGCACAAAAAGATGGACAGACATGGGTCTTTGATGACATTGTTTAACTGCCTCTTTGCCAACCTTGCATACACCTACCTCCAAACATCATATTATGTGAGAAAAACCTTAATGTTCAAGCCATGTTGAATTGGGCCATAGGTATGTTAACACATAGAATTTGATATGCGGTGTGGGGCCTCACTGGGCAAACTGTGTTCAGAGATTCAGGTCAAATCTCCATTTTTCCACTCCAAAACTGTTATTCTGCCATCCTCACTTCCTATAATGAGGAAGTAGTTCTAGAAGGGACAACTTCCCTCTCGGTGAAATTGTCTAATTCTCAGTGTGTCAGATCTACTTGCTGAAACAAAGTAAGATTCAGTTGCTCACAGGGATGATATTTTGGAACTGCAGAAGAGAAAGGGGAAGGCTCAAGTGAAATTTACAGTGGCCTCGGGTTCTAAGGCTTTGTGAGAGACTAAGAACCCAACATGAATGGTCTTCAACGGCAAAATGGGATGTTACACAATTCACAGAACACTTACGTGCACACTCTCAATCGCACAACCGCCTTGGTGATGGGCAGCACGACCTCATTTTACAGACAGGGTTCAGAAAGCGTCAGTAACTGGCTGAAGGCCATGTCGGCCCCCTGGTCCACAAACTGCCCCCGGCCCCCACTTTGTTTTTCTCCAGCTGACAGGGTGAGTATGCATTCCCCACGCATGTGCCAACCAGGGTGAGAGAGAAAATAACCAAACCAGATATGAAGAGTCTGGGACTGTCTACCTCCCTGCTTGGAGTTGGGGGTTAAGCGGCCCCAGGCTTTGGACTGGCCACCTGACTTTCATTTTCAGCTGTCCCACCTTGGATAAGTGGTTCGATAACCACACCTACTTCTTAGTGGTGCTGCAATGAAACAATGAGACAGTGTGGAACCTCAGGGCTGTGTCCGCGCAGTCAGCACGATTTCAGAAGGCACTTTGTGACAGTCACTGCTGCGGAACCAAGGAAGCCAGCAGTGGGGTAGAGAGCGAACTCTGGAGCCAGACTGACTTTGAATCCTAATTCTGCCACTTAATGACTCCACGACCTTGGGTAAATCACACCTCTTTGCGTCTCAGTCTCCTCTTCTGTAAAATGGGGATAATAATCATACCTACCTTGAGGGGTTGTTTTGAGGTTCAAATAGTTACTATACGGGCAAAGTGTTTGATCAGAGCCTGACGCAGCAGCAGACTGGTAGTATTACGAGTATTATTACGTTGTCGGTATTATCACGCCTGTGGCTGTCGTCCCCAGGGCTCCGAGGGACGGGACAGCCAAGCGCTGCTTTGCAGACTCATCCTTGCTGGGCAGGTCCGGCCCCCGCCCCCGCGGGCTTGAGTCACCTCAGACCGTGCGTCACCCGCGCCCCTCCCGCGCCACGACCTGCAAACTCACCCTGAGTCAGCCCGCCCGGGCGCTTCCACTCCTCCGACGCCGCGCGAGGAAGGGGAGGCAGCGGGGCGCCCCCGGGCGGAGAGCGGGAGCCCCGCGTCGGTCAGGCCACTCCCAGCGAGCGCGACGGGTGTCCAGCTGAGGACCTCCGGGCTGGGGCCGGACCACCGCGGGGCTGGGGGAGAAACGCGCGCTTGCCGGTCCGGACCCCCCGCCCGGCGGCGCGGAATGGTACGGCCCGGCCCGAGTTAAAGCCGGGGGAGGCGGCGCGTCCCGCGGCTGCGGCTGCGGCGGTGGCGCGATGGGGCTGCGCGCAGGAGGAACGCTGAGCAGGGCGGACGCTGGCCGGGGGGCGCACGAGGGTCCCGGGCCCAGCGGCGGCGCGCACAACAGCAGCATCCACTCGGGCTGCATCGCCGCGGTGCACAACGTGCCGCTGAGCGTGCTCATCCGGCCGCTGCCGTCTGTGCTGGACCCGGCCAAGGTGCAGAGCCTCGTGGACACGATCCGGGTGAGGCCCTAGGGAGGCCGGCCAGCTGGAGGGCGGAGGGAGGGCGCGCTGGACGCCAGACAGACTGGTTCCAGCCTCTGCCGGCGTTCGGCCTTTGCTGTGTGACCTTGAGCAAGTGGCTGGGGCTCTCTGGGCCCCTGTTGCATCACGCCGGCAAGGACGGAATTGGGCGACAGAATTTAAATAATGATCGCTAACTTATAGCGCTTGCAGTGGCCCAGGAGCTGTCTTAAGTCCCTTATTGTTCTATGCCTATGCGGCGAGGTAGATACTGTTTCTCTTTTCCGAGGAGAAACTGAGGCACCAGAGCATTTTTTAGCAACTTGTCCAAGGTCAGGCACTCAGAAAGCGGCACAGCCGGAATTCACGCCTAGGCAGCCAGGCTCCAGCGCCCCGCTGCGTGGTCATCACACTTTCCGGAGATAACCTGCAGTCGCTTATGGCTGTGACAGTGGCAATGGGACCGGGCACGTCATGTCTGCTGGGAGGACCTTGTCTGAACAGGAAGTGGGTGAGGACAGGGCTCAGCCCCATCACTGACGGAGGGTGTCCAGGAATGTGGGAGTGATCTTGGCGGGAAGCTGAGGAGGGCGCTGCTGCAGGACATGTGTGTCAGGCTAGGCCTATCTGGCATTGTGTCCCCTTCCCCTAGACCCTTGGAAGGTGAGCACATGAGATCCCTAAGCCCCAGTAGCCCCCCTGTACAGCCCAGGTGTCTTTCAGCCCTGGGATTTGCACTCCTGTCCTCACTGCCTGGAGCCACTTCCCCAGATGTCCACAGGGCCTGCTCCCTTGCCAGGTGCAGGGCTCTGCCTCCCTGACCACCTTGCTAATGGGTCCCTGGCCTTGGTAGCTCGCCCTTTAGCCTGCGGTGTTTCTCTGTGTAGCACTTACGTCCGCCAGAAATTATGTTATTCATTTGTGTTTTATTGTCCGTCTTCCCCACCTCATGTGAACTCCACAAGAGCAGGGACTTTGTCACATCTTGGCCTCAACGCTAGCACAGTGCCTGGCTGTTTGTGGGGGAAGGGATCTAGCCATGCATGCTCTCTCCCACCACTGGGCCTTTGCACAGGCTCTTTCTCCTGTCAGGAAACTCTCCCATCTCTTCTTTATTGTTTCTAACTTCTCTTCCGTCTTCCTGTCTCAGTGTCAGCATCTTCCCTGATCACCCCTACTGGGTTGGGGGCCCCTGTGGCCTCGCAGCCACCTGTGTGCTCACCAGCATAGCTCTGATCCCACTGGATTTTAGTGGCCTGTTTAGACACCTGTCTTTCATGCTAGAACCATGTGCTCTGTGAGGACAAGAACCAGATCTGCTTTGCTTACTTACCATCTGTATTAGTTTTCATTGGCCACTGTAATAAATTATCACAAACGCAGTGGCTTAAAACAGCACCCATTTATTATTTTACAGTTCTATGGTTCAGAGGCCCAAAATGGGTCTTCATGGCTAAAATCAAGGTGTCAGCAGGGCTGTGTTGTTTTCTGGATGCCCTAGGGGAGAATCCATTTCCTTGCCTTTACCAGCTTCTAGAAGCCACCCACATTCATGGCCTTTTCCTCCATCTGCAAAGCCAGCAATGGCAGGTCAACTCCTCACATCGCATCACTCTGACCACCTCTTCTGCCTCCCTCTTCCACTTTTAAGGACCCTGGTGATTACATTGACCCATCTGGATAACCCAGGATAATCTTCCCCTCTCAAGATCCTTACCTTAATTCCACCTGCAAAGTCCCTTCTACCATGTAAGGTGACATATTCACAGGCTCCAAGGATTAGGACGTGGACATCTTTGGGAGCCATTATTCTGCCCACCCACCATTGTGCCCCCAACACCCAGCACGAGGCCTGCCCGGCACAGCTACCCCTCGTTGGTGCCCCACCAATGCCTCCCATGCATGCACTCGCTCACTCTTCAGAAACAGCCCTATAGGAAGGCTTGTTCCCATTTTACAGATGAAGGACAATGTTCAGAGCGGTGAGGCCACTTGTTCAGCGTCCCCTATCCGCTCTGTAAACGAGCTGAGACTCAAATTCAGGTTTGTCAGGTTCTAGAGCTCCGGCCTTCTTAAAAACCATTCGTGGAGTTTATGGATAAATGACTCCATCGAAGCAGCATGAGAGAGAACCGTGGGCCAGTGGCAGGAGGCCTTTAGGCAGCTCACACTGAACGGGGTCTCCCCAGCGTGCTCTACCCCGTACCCCATCCTGCCTCAGGCTTTCCCTACTTAGAGGATGACCTACTCTCCCCCTGGCTGCTTGGCCCCTAACAGGAAATCAGATTCTCCTCTCTGTCTTGCCCTCACATCCACCCCTTCCACCAGACCCCTCAGATCTGCCCCCTGAATGTGTCCTGAACCTGTCTACTTCTCCCTGTCCCCACCACACTGTCGTCCAGGCCAGTGTCTTCTGCTGAACACCTGCAGAGGCTTCGCCTCTGTCCTGCCTGCTGTGCCCTTGTCACCCTGTGAAGCCGCTTTTCAACAGTGACAACTTTCTAGAATGTGCATCGGATCATACCACCCCCGCCCATTTAAAGCAATTCAGAGCCTACACACTGCTCTTAGAAACAGCCCCATGTCACTTGGCTCCTGCTGCCCTCTGACCTCTTCTGCTTGGCCCTTGAGTCCACTCTAGTCACATTGGCCTCCTTGCTGTGCCTCCAACACAGTGAACTTGTACTGGCCTCAGGCCCTTTGCATCTGCTGTTCCCTCTGACTAGAATGCTGTTCCCTCAGGTAATACACAGTGTACATTACTGAGCGCTTTGCATGTGCCAAGCATTGTTTGAAATGCTTTACATTATAGTAACTCATTTAATATACGTATATTCTGTAGTATGAGGTGGGTCTGTTATCTTCATCCCCATTTAATATATGGGGCAACTGAGGCACAAAGAGGTTAATTGCCTAAGGTCACATAGCTGCCAAATAGCAGAGTTGGGATTTGAACCCAGGCAGTTGGGCCCTTAATCTATTCTGCTTCTCTGTCTTCCCAAGTACTCTGCTTCAGTGTCACCTCAGAGTGGCCTTGTGGACCCCAATCCCTATCATGTCACCTGTCTTACTGTCTTCTGTTCTCGTACCGTTTATCACTCTAATATTCACTTCTTTGTTCCATTTGCCCCATTAGACTGAGGCCCCATGAAGGCAAAGGTTGTGTCTGTCTCATTCTGGCTGTACCTTTTTCCCAGAGTGTGGAACAGGGCCAGATGTATAGTGTTCACGTGGTGTGTTGAGAAATGGTTAACAACCTGATCTCTGGGCGGGGGAGTCCCTGATTTGTAGCACTTGCCCATTTCCCTGGTGTAAATACTCTCTCCGTGGCTGACCTTCAAGCTACCAAGGTGATGTCAACCAGCTCACAGAATTCCTGGCTATGTAACATTTCTAGTGTGAGCACAGGCAAAGTCTGCTTTGCCAGCTGTCAAGCATCGTACCACGCCCACTTACTCTTTGCCCCTTCTTTCCAGGAGGACCCAGACAGCGTGCCCCCCATTGATGTCCTGTGGATCAAAGGGGCCCAGGGTGGTGACTATTTCTACTCCTTTGGGGGCTGCCACCGCTATGCGGCCTACCAGCAGCTACAGCGAGAGACCATCCCTGCCAAGCTTGTCCAGTCCACCCTCTCAGACCTAAGGGTGTACCTGGGGGCATCCACGCCAGACTTGCAGTAGCAGCCTCCTTGGCACCTGCTGCCACCTCCAACAGCCCAGAAGATACACCTGGCCTCCAGCAGGCTGGACATGCAGAAGGGGTATCGAGGGTGCATTCTTTTTGCACCTGGGGAAAGGGTCTGACTCTCATCCCCCTTGGCTAGCTGCAAGGCCTGGGACTCACGCTGAACAGTATGGGAGCCTCAGTTCCCACCTCTGTGAAAACAGGGTCATGGCCTTACCCTCGATGGATTATTGAGAGGATGAAAAGAGAAAGGATTTGCAGAGCCACGTGCTGCTGGCTCCAAATTCCCAAAGACAAGGATCTTTCTGCGTTTTTGTTTCTCTGTGCCCTATTGTATGGACTACCTTCAGCTGCAAGGAAAGGAAAATCTCAGTTGCAGTGGCTTAAACAGGTTGGTTTTTCCACCTGGCATGAATTCTGGAGACAGGTGGCTAACGGTGTTGGTCCAACAACTGAGCGAAGGTAGGGTTCACATCTCTAATTCTTTTGTCTTGCCCTCATTGCTTGTTACTTCATGGTCACGAGGTATCTGTGTCTCCAGGAATCGTGTCTGTGTTCAAGGAAGAAAGGAGCAGGGGAAGAGGTAGGGCCAAGCTCGCTGGACCTGTCAACTTCTATCAGCAAGTAAAACCTGTCAGGCCTATTTCCTGCTGTCTCCCACTGCACACTCTCACTTAGGTCTCCTTGGCCGGAGCCAGCTGCCATTGCCACCCCTAGCTGTAAAGAGAGCTAAGACAAGCAGAATTGTCACAGTTGAGTAGACCAGTCGTGTTCCATCTACTGAGACTGGCACACTGCCTCCTAAAATCAAACTGGGATCCCATCACCAAGAGAGAAATGAGGAGTTGTGTATCAGTTCGCCTTTGCTATGTAACAAATCGTCTCAAAACTTAGCAGCTAAAAACAAATCATTTATTTGCCCACGATTCTATAGGCTGGCAATTTGGGCTGGGCTCATCTGGGCAGTTCTGCTGGTCTTGCCCTGGGGTCCCTTGTCGGGCTACAGTCAGATGCCACCTCAGCCGGGCCTGGATGGTCCAGGATAGCCTTACTCATTTGTCTGACAGGTGACAGGCTGCAGACTGGGGTCACTTGGTTCTCTGCCATGTGGCCTCTCTAGCAGTCTAGCTCAGGAGCATTCACATTACGGCTTCAGGGTTACAAAAGAGTGAGAGTGGAAGCTGCAAGACTTCTTGAGTTCTGGGCCTGGAACTGGGACAGCGTCACTTCTGCTGACTTCTTTGGTCACAGCAAATCACAAGGCTCTGCCCAGAGTCAAGGGATGGAAACAGACTGTACCTCTTTATACCTCCAGATGGGAGGAGCCACAAAGAACTTGTGGCCGTTTCTCATCTGTCACAAATAATTTTGGCTGGACAAATTAACAGTATTTCTCCCTCTGTCTTGTAGGGCTTCACTCTGCCCAGTCTAAAGGCACTGAGACATTGTCCAGGCCCTCAGGGTCTAGGGGAAGGGGCGATAGGGCAGGAAGTGGGTCTCTGCAAGGGCTGGACCTACCCTAGTAGGGGTATCTCATTTTCTGCCTTGGTGGGATGGGGGTAAGCTGGGGGAACATTCCAGGGGGCCTTCTGAAACCAGCAGTCGTGGGAGAAAGGAGAGGTAGAGGAAGGGTACAGAGTGTGGCGGGCCTTGTTCTCACTGCTCTCCAAGGGAACTTGGTCACTTGGCATTTTCAAGCCTCAGTTTCCCCAGCTCGGTAACAAGGACGGCAGCTCTCCCACCCATTCCCTGTCCCAGGGAAAGATGACGGAGGTGACCAATAGTAGAACTGAAAAGGGACATAGTCCCAAATGTGATGTGGTATCCTGGATTGGATCATGGAACAGAAATAGGACATTAGTGGGGAAACCGGAAATCTGAATAAAGTCTGGATTTCAGTTAAACATAATATGCCAATGTCATTCTCTTTGTTTTGACAGTTGTACATGGTTATGTAAGATGCGACGTTGGGGTAGGCTGGGTGACCAGTATACAGGATCTCTGTACTATCTCTGCAACTTTCCTGTAAATCTAAAATCATTCCAAAATAAAAGTTTATTTAAAAGGAGGGAGTGCGATTGCTTTAGACCAATGGTTTGGGTTCTCAAGCTTGGTTGTTAAATCCCAGATTTCTGGCTTCACCCCCAAAGTTTCTGATTCAGTAGATCTGGAGCAAGGCCTGAGATTTTGCTTTTCTAGCAAATTCCCGGGTGATGGCAATGCAGCTGTTCAGGGACCACAATCTGGGAACTAGTTATTTTGACTGCACCAGTTATTTTCAGATATGGTGACCACCCCCACTCCCACCCCCAGTGGAGAGGAAGGCCCCTTAGGCTGGGCCCCAGGAGATCTGTTCTGGGACCAGCTTGTGTACTCATTGTGTGACACTGGGCAAGTCTTTCCCTCCCCTGGGGACTTTTTCCAAACTGTCAGCTGGACTGTGTACCCCTAAGGTTTGTATCAAGGGTCAGGGAAGCTGAGGACACGCTTCGTGAGCTGTGCTGTTGTGAGGTGCCACTGTCGGCTGTGAGTAAACACCTCCTGCGCCCACTGGCCTGGAGGAAGTGCTGGTGGTCGTCCCCTCCTGAAACTTTTCCTGCTTGCAGAGAAGATCCAACCAATCAGAACCAGGGGCCCTGCTAGGCACTGGGAAGGAGCTGCAGAACAGACTCGGAGTGGGAGGGACTGGTCAGCTAAGGGTTTGAAGGCTGTGTAACCTGCACGTGGCGCGGGATGGGGTCAGAGCGCTGCGTTTCCCTCTTATGCCAGTAGGTGGTGCTGCTCTCCTGCCCCCGGGGCAGGGCTGGGTCTCAGGCCTGCAGAGCGGCTGCTGTGGGAGGGGGCAGGAGGGAAGGGCCTGGCTGAGAAAGGCCCATCAGCTAACCCGGGCAGCTGGGGGTTCAGGCATAAGGAGACCTGGCTGGGATTCTGGAGTTTCAGATTCTGCTTATCTGCTCTTGCCGTGACCTTGCACACATCGTACCCTCACCTGGCCCGTCTCCCTGTCTACCTGGAGGCACTAGGTCAGAGAATCTCAGGCTCAGCAAAGAAAGCACGTCCTCCAAGAAGCTTTCAGGCGCCTCCTAGCAGAGCCATGTGCCTCTTCTGGGCTTCCATGACCCAATGTGTCCCCTGCCCCCAGAAACTTGGATCTGATGAAAGGCAGTGCACAGGGACCCCTTAGGGCCCTCAATGCCCTGGAACCAACTCCCTTCACCATGGTAGATTTTTAAATTTTTTTTTCATTTCACAAGTTATTTGTAAATATATTTACCTTTTAAACATTAAGATTTGAAAACGTTAAATAATTAAATATTAAAGTGTTAGAGGCAAGCTCAAGCCCACCATGAGTCCAGCCCTGGTTATCCCTTTGCACTCTTGGGACAGTACCTTCGTGCATCTGGCATAGACCCTTCCAGAACTTTATCTAACTTGGTAGTAATGTGTGTGTGTTTAAGTAAAGATTGTTTTTCTTTTTGACATTATTTTGCATATTGCTTTCCTGCCTTGGCAGTGTGCCCTAGCCACCTACTCCAGTAGTGTCTGTGCTCTTCCCAGAGCTCCCTCATTCTGGTCTCTGTTCAAATGTCACTTCTTCCGAGGGGCCTTCCCCAACCATACTGCCTAAAACGGCCCCCTCCTCCATCCTTCCATCCCCTTACCCAGTTTTATTTTCTTCATGGCATTTATCACACTCTCTGGAAGTATCCCCTGTGTCTGTTCACGTCTGTCTTGCCCACTAGAGTGTACATTCTCGAGGCAGGGCTTCATCTGTCTTGTTTATCGCTGTAGGTCCAGTGCCAAGAACAGTGCCCGATACATACTAGGGGTTCAATAGGTATCTGTTGAATGAATAAATTCCACATAGGTCTGGATCAATCCTTTTCATTGCTGCGTGGTGTTCCAGGCCATGAATGTAGCCATTTGTCAGTCACACTCCTGTTACTAGACATTTGGGGGTTTACAGTTACTTGCTGCTGTGAACGCCCACCACCATCACTCTGCGCCCCCTCCCCTGCACATCTAGGAGTGGAACTGCCTGCCTCATACATATGCTCATTTCCCACTTACAAGATACTGGCAAATTCCAAGTGCCACATCCTCCAGCGGAGTTTGGGAGCCCATTTTCCTTCCCTGCATTCCAACCAGCCCTTCTTCATCTTTTTTAGGGTCATGAACATGGTTGAGAACCAAAGAAAGCCACGAGCCCTTTCCCCAGTAACACACACCTGTTCTGGGCAATTTCTGGGGCTCCTTGTACTTGATGGACTCCTCCCCCGGGGGACACTGTATCAACAGTTTTGAAGTGTAATTGTCATGGATAGGAACACATGCAGATGGGGACCGTGAACGAGTGACTGAATGAATGGGCTCTAGTTTTGTAGGGGGTAGAGGAAAGTGTTCAGACCCTGACCTACCCCAGTCAGAAAAAACACCTATGTGGGTCGCTCCGGCCCTGCCCTATCCTGGACCAGAGGGCACCAAGGATAGGCTCAGTGGGTTCCGGGACTTGGGTCTGGGCAGCTCCACCTGTCGGCCCGGAGAAGGCAGGCCACGCCTGGCGGCCGGGCTCAAAGCAGGGAACCAGGAGAGGCCCTGACTGCGCTTGGCTGCGACATCCACTCCCACCTCCCGTGCACGCACCCACTGTAGGTTACAGGCCACAGTTGCTTCCAGTTTCCTCCCCAGCCCCTGGCTTTAGCGCTTCCACAGAGCGGGAATAGGGACTGCTCGTTACAAGAAGGCCGCCATCATCGTCGTCATCGTGGTTTCCATGCTTTGATTCTCAAGACAGAAACGATCTTTCCGGTTGGACACACGGGCAAACTGAGGCCTGAAGCGGAGCAGCGACCTGCCAAGCTCGCGCCTGTTATCGGCCCCCTACGTGCACCCCCGCCCTGCCTCGCGGCCCCTTCCCCGGGCCTGACCCGCGGCTCTGCCTGACAGATGACCTCAGCTGCCGCCAATCCATTGGTTCCAGCTCCCGGGGGCAGCGCAGAACAAAGCGCGCTTTGTGGCGGGGCCGTCCCCTCTCCCGGCTCGTCCGCCGCCGGGACCCCCTCCGGAACTGCGGGCGACGCCCCCCGACGCCCCCCTCCGACAGCCGTGTAATGTCTTCCAGGCCACGCGGCTCCTGCCAGAGCCCCAGAGCCGCGCTCGCCTCCTCCGAGGGGCTCCCTGGGCCGCCCGGGGCGCCCCGCCCCCGCTCGGCCCCCCGGGCGACCGGATTGGGGGGCGCCCCCAGCGGGAGGCTCTGCCGGCTGCCCACCTGTCCCAGCCGAGGAGCGAGAGGGCCGGGGCGATCAGCGCCAGCGCTTGGGGCGTGGGTGCTGGGCAGGGGCTGCCACCTGGTCACCTTATCCTCTAACCCTCAGAGACCGTTTGCAGAGGAAAACACTATCCATGGTGGTGGTGGTGGTACTATTGTTGCCTTTGTTATTAATATCATTATTATGTTGTGGTTGTGA